GAACAGGAACTACAGAAACAAGCATAACCAACAGAATACAAGAGATGGAACAGAGACTCTCTGACACTGAAGACACAATAAAGAAAATAGATTCGTCAGTCAAAGAAAACACTAAAGACAAAAAAATCGTAGCACAAAACGTCCAAGAAATTTGGGGCACCATGAAAAGACCAAACCTAAGAATAATAGGGATAGAAGAAGGAGAAGAATACCAACTCAAAGGCACAGAAAATATATTTAACAAAATCATACAAGAAAACTTTCCTAACCTAAAGAAAGAAATACCTATGAAGATACAAGAAACTTACAGAACACCAAATAGGCTGGATCCAAAAAAAACATCCCTTCGCCACATAATAATCAAAGCACTAAAAATGGCAACTCTTACAAAGAAAACATTTAACTGAGTGGCTCACTTACAGTTTCAGAGGTTCAGTCGATTATCATCACAATAGAGAGCACGGTAGTGTGCAGGCAGACATGGTGCTGGAGTGGAGTGCTACATTTTGCAGTCAACAGGAAGTCAACTAACTCACTGGGTGTATCCTGAGCATATGAAACCTCAAAGTTCACCCCCACAGTGACACACTTCCTCCAACAAGGCCAGACCCACTCCAACAAAGTCATACTTCTTAATGTGCCACTTCCTATGAGATTATGGGAGCCAATTACATTCAAACTACAACACTGCTCTTTTCTTAACAGCCAGAAATTATAAACAACCTACATGTCCCTCAACAGAATGAAGAAAATGTGGTACATTTACACAGTGAAGAATTGTTCAGTCAATTAAAAAAAAAAAAAAAAAAAAACCTCATGAGCTGGAGAGGTGGCTCAGTGGTTAAGAGCATGGCTGCTCTTCCAGAGGTCCTGAGTTCAATTCCCAGCCACCACATGGCAGCCCACAACTGTCTGTAACTCCAGTTCCAGAGGATTCAACACCTTCACACAAACATACATGCAGGCAAAACACAATACACATTAAATAAATTTTAAAAAAAAGAAATTTGAAGGCAAATGAATGGAACTAGGAAAAAAAATCATCCTAAGTATCCCAGACCCAGAAAGATAAATGTGGTATGTATTCACCTATATGTGGACATTACTTGTGAAGTCAGTGATAGCCATGCTATAATCCATAGGTACACAGTAAGGGACTAGAGAGAACAGATAGTTCTTATTAGGAAAGGGAAACACAACAGATATGAATGGAATGGGCAGGGGACTGGAATGGGATGATCAAATGAGGGGGAGATGACAATGGGTTGTGGGAGGGAATACAGGGAGAGACAGTCAAAATTAATGGGCTTTTGGGGATAGTATGAAAGCCTAATATAGAAGAAACTTCCTAAAAATTATACATATAAGAAGCCAATCTAAATGAAATCTCCAAATAAAGGGGAGACAGAGTCACCACTGGCCATCTCTTGTCACACAATGAAGCTTTCAGAAGCAGGACTGGTTACATCTAAATGAATTGCCAGTCAAAAGGGCCACATGGGAATCCCCAAACAACACAGGCTATTGCCAAGATTGTAGGTTGCTCTTCACATACTGACAGCAAGGGCCCATTTGCTGAAGACAACACCTATAGTGAACATGAAAATGTTGAGCTGGTGCCTACAAAGAGTCTTTACTCCTATGTTCTAGCATCTTTGGTATAGGAAGGTACTCTGAATGCTATCAAAAGAGAAACAAATACCAACTCAGCCATAAACCCTTTATCTACAATAGTTCACTACCTGCAAGATAGGCCAAGGCAATGGTGGCACAAAGATCGTGGGAGTAACCAAACAACTGATTTGACATGCACCTATATCATATAATACAGCACAAAAATGAGATTCCTTTTCATCGACCATGGGCACTGACATGCAGCATCTCAATTAAGTCCCCAGGATGTCAGTGAAAATTTGGATTACTCATGAACCTCAGAATGGCTAGTCAGGGATATTTATTCAGATTTCCATGACTGAAAGAAATACATAGCCTTTTCCTTTTGAAGAACACAAGTTTTTCTTGAGCTGGTAATCCAGGAGCATTGGATCCTGGGATTGAGTAAATGTTTGGCTTATTCAAAAAAGAATTATTTTGTCACCAAGAGAAAAGGGATATAGAGCACTATGAAGGGCCCCCCCCACAGTACCCAAAGCATCTCAAAGAGGGTGCTACTACCTAATGCAGTACCCAAACACATCCACAAGAGAGTGTGATTCAACCTTCCCATGCACTACACTAAGCATCCAGAAAAGGGCAAGACTCCCCGAGCAGTACCTGCAGCAGCCAGAAGAGGGCTCCCATGCAATGTTCAAAGCATCCAGAAGAGGATGATAGATCTCCATGAAGATCCTCATGCAGTACTAAGACATCCAGAAGAGGGCTACAGAAAGCCATGCAGTACCCACAGCATCTAAAAGAGCTTGATAACTTCTCATGCAGTACTGGTAGCCAACAGAAGATGGCAATAAAATGATATAATGGTCATAGGAGCTTTGTAGTTTCAGGTACATGCAATATAGCAATTCTCATTTTTCTTAACTAAATTAATAAATTGAAAGCTCTGCATTGAGTGCTTTTGGAAAAACAAGTTGTTAAAAGGGTGTCATGCAAACACATTAAATAAACTAGCAACATGTAATTATTTTAATTTAATGATTATAAGAAATATCATATCATATTAGAAAAGCAGCTATGGGTTGAGACAGGGGGAAAGTAATGGCACCCAAGGTAGAGAGCTGATTTCATAGAAGCTTTGAGCTTTTTCTGGCATCAACAAACACTTTTGCTTGATTCCATGAACTGGGTTCACTGAATGTTAGGAAAAGTATCTTCAGACAGGTAGATAAGGAAAAAATAAATCTTTTCATTTTTTTGTGCCTGATTGCTTTTATGCCAGACACTTTATGTCAGAAGGTTTAATTGGGTTTTAACTCATCTTAACTAGTTATTTGGTAGTTTTGAGTTTTATAAGATGTGTTTTGACTATATTTACCTTCTCCTAACTCTTCCAAGACCTACTCTCCCTTCACTATCCAACCAACTTTGCAAAAGAATTTTTAAGTAACTATTACTTAGGAATATATGTTGCCTGAAAGCTTCTTAATTTCTTGCTTCCTTCTTTCCTTTTAATCTCCAAGGGTTTTTACAGATGTTTTTGAAGAGGCTGATCAAAATGTCAAAATCTACAAGGAAAAATTTAAAATATGTATCATTCAAAATATACATTCAGAATTGATAAAGAAATACATGGTGGGATCAAAATATATAGTGTCTGATGTGGTGGTAAAAGTGTTTCTAAGAGAATAGTGTTGGACTGACATATATTCTTCTTAGGTTAGATCTTAAAGACATTCCCATGACTCTTAATAATCTCATATAGTCTTTTTGTTTTAATATACTTAGTCCTGAAATTTTTAATTTTGCCTATTCAAAGATTACAGCTTATTTTTTCAATAACTGTATTACATGTATTCTTTATTATGAACTAACTACAGGGTATTTGTTGAAGTCGAGAGGGGTCAGTATCATAAAGAACTGCATCTTCATATCATCATAGAACCTGCATCTTCTTCCTTTTCAGCATTTTATCTGTAAGAGGTATATCAATTTTCTATATGTCATCATCATTGACATAGAAAACCCACTTTGGGCTAAATGTCACTTCTACTTGAAATGCAGTATACAAAGGATTTCTCTAATGCAGAACCCACTGACTATGAATGTTATACTGAACTGTTAGATCAATATTTTTCAGTTACTCATTATTCATATTGTAGATACAGCACTGACATTTTGAGAGCAGGTTGGCTGATTATTTGGTCTGCTCAAAATAGATGTAGTTTTTTAGTCCTATGAAATTAAAAAGGGAAAGTCTTTCCTAAGCTATAATTCTTGTGTGAATTTTCTTCCAAAATAGATGAGGCACTGACCAATCAAAGAAAGAATTTCATCCAAATCCAGCTTCATAGACCAGTGAGTTTATCTGGGTTACAAAAAAAAAAAAAAAAATGTTCAGGAAATTTTTGATCAAATTATACAAGTCTGTACCAGTGCAGTTTTACTGGAGTTAATGACTTACCTCTTATGTAACTCTTGGGAAGGGAGGGCCTTGGGAGGTGCTACTAAAGGGTAGTGAACCCTGTGAGCATCATGAAATTGTCCTTCCCTTCAGGAGGAGATGTTAGTAGACACAATTTTATGAGGGTCAATGATAGGTGATCACAGCTGCTCTATTTAAGATGGCAATTTTCACGTCAACACAGAAAAGAATATACAAGAACATATTCCATGATGCAAATCCAAGAGAAAGTACCCCATAGTGCTGTGGGATGTCTTTCTGGTATGTTGTGAATGTGTGTTGCTCTGATTGGTTGATGAATAAAACTGCATTGGCTTATGGCAAGGTAGGTTAGAGGCAGGCAGAAATCCAAGCAGAGAGACAGGGAGAAGAAAGGCAGAGGCGGAGGACATGCCATCTTGCTGTCCAGGGAGCAGCATGCAATGGCACACAGGTAAGGCTACAGAACACGTGGTGACATACAGATTAATAGAAATGGGCTGAGTTTAGTTATAAGAGCTAGCTAGCAAGAAAATTGAGCCATAGGCCATGGCCATACAGTTTGTAGTTAATATAAGCCTCTGAGTGATTATTTTATAAATGGCTGCAAGACAACGGGTGAGAGATTTGTCCTGACTGGGGCCAGGCAGGACACAGGAAATCTTTCAATTACATTTGGTGCCTAGATGTGGTGGCAAGAGTTTCCACCTAAAACGTGAGAGAGCTTAAGAAGAGATTATAAATGTAGCTAAGGTCACTTTCCTAGTTCATTTCGCTCATGGCGGGCCATGGTACATTGATGTGTCCCCTGGCTGTGGCGAGTTCACAGTGTGTGGGCCTGACCTACAGCATAGTAGATCACCTTGGTACACAGGTGTCTCCAAGTCATTCAACATGCATGGTGGATTTAGCTTTGGCTAGGTACAGACCAAAAAAGGGGGGAGGAGAGGTTCTGTGCCACACGCTGCTAGATGAAGGCATGGACCCACTGCCTCCCAAAGTCAGCAGAGAACATGTCTCCCAGAGCTGGTGGTAAATTACCTACACCATGTTGGGAAGCTGAGGTGGTTGGAGCCAGAAGCCAAGGTTGCCAATTCAGTCTTAGCCATGTTGCAGCTTAAAGCAATAGTCAGAAAATGATTACAGAAACACAGTAAGAACAGATTCAGATGGAATAAAACTCTAAACAGTTTACAGTGTGAGTAAAAATGTATGTAGGCTTGAAAGAGAGAGGAAAAGAAGTATGTGTAGTTATATAAGGCAATAGATTTTAAAAATAAAGTTTTTAAAGAGACAGTGAAAATAATATAAAAGATAAGCCACATAAAGATGGAAATCACACAGAGAGTCTGGATTATATTGTCTTTGAGACTTTTAACTACAGAAAGACATTTGATTGTAAAGGCTGCTGAGTTAAACCAATATATATATTTTAAAGATATCTTGACTTCACAATGTGTGTCTAAGGATATGTTGCTTTGGAAAAGATGTTCTGCTTTTGTTTCCACAGAAGATGAGAACCTGTGGATTGCTTCCAGGCTAATATGCTTTGATCATCCAAGACCCCTGAAAGGTCTCCGATGATCCATGGCCCAGATGATCCAACATCCAGAATTGCTTCTAGGCAACTGGCACAGACAACTCAGCTTCATAGACTACTCCAGTCAGTACTTGACCATAATTCTTAATTTTCTCAGGATCCCCAGAAGATTGCCAGCACCCCCATCCAAGCAGGAAGTAGTATGAGAAGCTACATCCAAATTACCAAGATATTGTTTACAAATGTTTACTCTTATTTAAAAGTTTGATTATAAATGCAATCTCTTTCTAAAGAAAAAAGGGGATATATATATACATATATATATATATGTGTGTGTATATATATATATATGAGATAAGATAAAAGGGTAGATTATTGAATCTACATTTAAAGAGCAACAACTTGTTTGAAATGTTTTACATTGCTATGGATTTTAGTTTATTGATACAAATTTGAAGTTAATTTTGTTATACTATATATATTTCTATACTTATTTAAGATATTGTTTATGCAACTCATTTAAAATTATGTTTAATTAAGAAATACAGATTAATAATTAGTCATCCATGATAATTAAACTTATAGTCATGTTAGTTAAGTTTTCTAGGTATACATAGATATAAATTCAATTAGATAGGCAATCTTCAAACACTTCAAAGACCTACAGAATATGGCATTTAAAATGTTTTAAAAACTTAGATGTTCTGGATAGTGAGAAACCTTTGCTCCTGGCAGCACTGATTTACTTCAAAAAGGAAGATGGGCATCGAAGACACTCCATATGGAGTTTATCTTCTTCTTGGCAAAAATAGCCATTTGGGCAAGAAACAGCCCTTGCCTGGACTGCTGATAATATGTTGTATAAACTGGACATACAGGACCCATAAGAAAATGACCACTGAATTTGCCAAAACAAGGCAAAATGATCCTTCAGTTTCCTGCTTCACAGAGGAGACTGCCAGACATTCTACATGGCACAGGGAGCAGCACCTAAAAAACTCTAGGCTGTTGGCTGAAGATGGATGCCCCAATGCTGCAGAGAAACTTTGGATGACTGCCCAGGTAGTCAGCTGTCTCTGTCATCCTATGTTTTTGGAAGTTGCTAAAAAAGCACTTCCTATTTACTTAGGTAATATTATATCCTTCTGGAGTCTTTAATGTAGTTGAAGACTAGACAGTTATAATTTTCTTTGGTTATGATAAAAGATAAATTAGATATAAAACTTTAGACTCACAAATATAGGATAGATAGAATATTTTCTTTAACTTTGCCAAATACAAATAGACTAGATATTATAACTGTAATTATTGCTTGATAACTGTTTTATTATATGTAATTTTACTATGTTCGAGTTAAAACTTTCCTTTTTAATTAGATATAAAAGGGGAAGTGGCTGTGGGATGTCTTTATGCATTCTGTGGATATATGTTGCTCTGATTCATTGATAAATAAAGCTGCATTGGCCTATGGCAAGGCAGCTTAGAGGCAGGCAGAAATCCAAAGACAAACAGGAAGCGATGCCAGCCTGCCTTAGTAAAAACAGTTGTGTCATAGAAAATCACACAAGACAATCAAGAGTTGTGGAAGAACAAAGCTAGATTGCAAAACTCAGATATTTCAACAGGTTCAAAAAGGATGGAAAACATACATACACACATACACACAAACACACCTAGAAAACACAATAGTATAGTTTACATGTTAAATATATAACAGATTCAAGAATTAGCAAATGTGGGTCTTTATCTTGCAAAAGACCTGAAGTTTTCTTGTATAAGCATCTGGAGGATTATAGCTTTGGCATTATTTTGAGGTTGATGTCACAAAACACTTGACAAATTAAACTTAAAGAAGGAAGGTCTAATTTCAATTCATGATTTGAGAGGATACTGTCCGTCACAAAACTGAAAGAATGGTGGTGGAAAAGTGAGGTCATATTATGCCAGCAAAAGAAGGTGATCTAGTCACCTATTGCTGGATTCTAATGGGGATTTTGTTAGGTTTAACTTTTTTAAACATCCTGTTTATTCTTTTAATCTGTCCAGAATTCTGAGTTCTATATGTACAATGAATTTTTGAATCTATGCCCAAAGCTTTAGCTATTAATTGAGAG